TGGACCTCAGAGGTCCTTGTTGGGGTTGGGGGCTGTGATCATGATGTAATTGCATTGCTCTAGAGGAAACATTCCTGTTTGCTGTGGACCATAAACATTATTGTGTACACACTGATCTTATAAATATGGCCCTTCCTTCTGCCTTTTATATATCCTAGCACCTCATTGCATCAGGACGTCTGTGGCATTAACCTCATTGACATGGGCCCAGATCGAGAAGTTGGCACATACTATACCCACTGGGTGTGAGCACACTGCCACTGACAGTCCTGTACCCAAGGAGTGCTCGTAGCATACTTACAATTGGCATTCTAGTTGCTGCCCCACTTTTGTCTCTGCTCCACTCAGCTCTATTGCCTTTGGTTGCCAATCTCACCATTGTCTTGTTCGAAGTTCTGGTAACCATCCTACTCAGAGAATGATACAGCGAAGGAATAGGGCAGAGGGCTGGGGGAGACACTGAGGCAGCCAAGTATTGGAAGCAGAACTGTGTGAATGTTAGTTTTAATTGAATTGATTTAAAAACATTTGTAAATAAAAAATTCTTTGCGACAGGCAGTTACCTAGTAACATTACATTGACTGCCTGGGTGGTGAGTGCGTCCCTGAAGTCTCAGGGGAGCAATAGCCTAATGGTATTATAGCCACGGCAGGATCTGGAATTAGGAGTCTAATGATGATCATGAAACCATTGTCAATTGTCAGGAAAAACCCATCTGGATAACTCAATGGAAATTGTTGGCCTTACCGGTATGTGCAGCTGTATGTGACTCCAGACCCATAGAAATGTAGTTGACCCTTAACTGCCCTCGGGCAATCTCGGGAATAAATCCAGGCCTGGTCCCGTGAATGAATTAAAAAAATACAGTGTAGCAAACTGAGCTTTTAGCTGCTGAATCTCTCAAAACCACAGAAACATGAATAAACATTAAAATGGTTGTTGAATGAAGATACAGAGCCTCCTTTAAATATCTGACTGCCAGACTTCTCTTCCTTAGAATCGATGAATGCTGTATACTGTCACTCCATTTTTAAACTGGAGGTGAGCAGATTTCAAACAGGTTCGAGTTGATGTGACACATTTTCACTTCTCACACAATCCAAACCTACCTATTTTTAGAGGTGAAATTTCTCCCCCAAAGTGAATTCTGTTTCTCTGTTCACAGATACTAACAGACATAGATTTTCATGTTTTCTATGATTTAATCCCTGAGAAAGCACTGAGAAATCATTTCAAAGAAAATTTAGATGTGACGAGAGGGGAAGCACAAAGATTCAAAAGTATTTAGTGATCTGCAAATCGTTTCCTCATTATTCATGAATAAGATACATGTGTCACTGGCAAGCCAGCATTAATTGTCAGTCCTAATTGGCTTCAAGAAGGTGATGGTGAATTGACGTCTTAAACGTTCATAGTCCATGGGGTGTAAGTAAACTCCCCGTGTTCTTCCAGGATTTTGACTTGGCAACAATGAAGGAATGTCGATACAGTTTGAACTCAAATTGGTGTGCAACTTGAAGGGAAATGTGCAGCTAGTGGTGCTCTTTGTTTCTCAACTTGGCATGTTAAGGTCTAAACTGTGCGATTTAACTTTACTTGCAAGACTTAAGTCAATTACAATTTTAAACTGAGTTGAAGGAGCCAGTCTAAAGGTCTTCTCGTCCTAAATTTCTGCACATTTCAGCTTCCAAACCCACAATCACTTCTATCTAGAAGGACAAGGGCGGCGGATATATAGGGACACCACCACCTTCAAGATCCCCTCCAAGCCACTCAACATCCTGACTTGGAAACATATCGCCGTTGCTTCACTATCACCAGGTGAAAATCCTGGAATTCCCTCCCTAATGGCATTGTGGGTCATCCCACAGCAGGTGAACTGCAGCAGTTCAAAGAGGCAGCTCACCACCATCTTCTCGAGGGCAACTAGGGACGGGCAATAAATGCTGGCCAGCCAGTGACACTCACACCCCACAAAAAAATGAATAAATAGAAAAAAAAGACAGTTATCTCAGCCCGGATAAGGGTCTAGGCCCGAAACGTCAGCTTTCCTGCTCCTCTGACGCTGCTTGGCCTGCTGTGTTCATCCAGCTCTACACCTTGTTATCTCAGATTCTCCAGCATCTGCAGTTCCTACTATCTCTGAAACAATTCATACCCTCTGGATCAACTGTTTGTCCTGGTGGATAAGCATGTTTGAGCTAAGTGATGGTTTTACCCTCTACAGACAATAAGTAATTGTATATCAGTGCTGGTATATCAATACTTAAAATATCTATCTATATAGTTACAGTCAAACTTCTGGTTGGCTCATCATACATGCGCTAAGTACACAACCATAGTTATGGATTCTCAACAACACACTCAAAATCAAAATCTTGTGATGGATGAGAGGAAATTGTTGACTGTGCTAGAGAAGGAGGGAAAGGACTGTTGCTATGTGCTTTTGAGAAAGATGGAGTGATGGAGAAGTCTACTCACTCTTGTTACATTTTGCAAAGTCAAAGTTCTGCATGCATTGAATTTAGGTCCAATTGTTTCTGCTGACAATCTCAGCAGGCATGCTCAATGTTGGTGTACTTGGTTCTTTGGGATCTGCCTCCCATGGGCTAAATCTTTCACCTCACCCTGATCTCTTCCACTCTCACCTCCATTGCCACCCACTTCAAATACATCACAGGATACCGTACTGAAAACAGCTGGGTATCCCCAAGTGGAGTCCAAAGTGGAGGAGGAGCATCCGGGAGGACATCGAGCACCCGGAGACTTGCCGTCAGGACAAAATGGGAGCCAGGCGAAAACAGTGAAAGGAGTGCGCTGCCACACCAATGCTCCATCGACCCCTTCCCGAGACCACCACATGCCCCAAGTGTAACAGAGCCTGTGGTAACAGTATTGATCTCTACAGCCATCTACAGACTCACCCTGAGATTGGGAGAGAGTCATCTTCGTCTATGAAGGACCAGTAATGATGATGATCCTCAAAAGCAGGGAAATATCCTCATCTAATTTTAAGAGAACCAGGAATTCTCAAGTACTATATAATTAACCTGAGATTATAATGCAGTGCAAAAAAATATTGTTCTCATAAACCCCTCACAAATAAAACTTGATCTAAAGAAAGTCTGTCTCCTGCCTTTTTATAAATATTGAAATCAGTAAATAGAAATCAGTAACAAAATTTAGCTTGCAATATTCGCTGGGACAAAATGGGACTTTTTAAACTATGTTAGGGAGCGAGTATTGCAAGCCAAATTTTGTTACTGATTTATATTTACTGATTTCAATATTTATAAAAAAGGCAGGAGACAGACTTCCTTTTCTTTAGATCAAGTATTATTTGTGAGGAGTTTATGAGAACAATATTTCATTGCACTGCATTATAATCTCAGGTTAATTATATAGAACAAAGCATGTCAGGGTAAGTGGAAAACTAAAGAAATGCATTGTTAATTTGAAGAAAATAAGTAAGTACAAAAACAAAAGTACGATGAAACTATTTAAAGCAGACAAAGGAGGCTTCATGTTCTTCTAGCCAACATTCCTCCTCCAGACAACACCAATAAAATTAAATCAGAGATAGTAGGAACTGCAGATGCCGGAGAATCTGAGATAATAAGGTGTAGAGCTGGATGAACACAGCAGGCCAAGCAGCATCA